ATGCGAACACATTGTTCATCCACCTTCTGCAGTTACTTGTGATGGGTGTGTAAGGATGAGAGAGGATGTTTGCAGAGGTTCTGGATTAACTATGATTTCATCCATGAAGATGTCTGGAATACCTATGATAACATATTTCATCATTTTTAGGAAAGAGTACCTAGAAAAATTACTTTCTCTGTTAACAATTTTTCAATTTTTTGCATTTTTGCACTTAAATTACCAGATCATCAAATTTTAACGTTAGACAAGTGGGGCCTGTTAGCGTGTAGATGTTGTTTTGGCTTCTTTTGTTGCCTCCTGGATAAGTTGTTGATGTGCTCTTGATTTAATTTAGCCACACTAACCACAATAGGGATGGGAATCTCAATAGTTCAGTAGTTCAGTCCCTTGGAACTGTTAGTCAGCTTGGTTCCACTTGCACTTGTGCTACAATCAACTGATTTCAGTTCATTTGTTGGAGGAGGAAAATAAACGCTGTCTACAGCGTGGATATGGACATTACTTTTGTTTTTATTGCACAAAAGGAGAAGAGCAACATGGTAAATTGGAAACAGATCTGGACAGAAGCAATTACATTATGTCAACTCTTTGCAAACAGTTGCATAGATAGCATGCTAACACTAAGCTAGCCCCAGCCCAACAGCCAGACCCTGAACTTCAACAGGTAACAAACAGAGCGGTCAGGCTGCAGCCTTTGTTTCTACTTGTTCATGTTTCTAAAGTAAAATCACAGGGCTGATTGCTTTTAAAGTCCCTTTGTGCTGGTTTTCATCTTTTCTTTGTATTGTCGAGTTTGTGTTTATACTTACATACTTAGATAAAGATCATATTTGTCTTCATTAGGACATGGATTTGTGTTGGTGTGTGGGACGATAGCCTATAGGTTCATATCATTAAATGGTAATCATGAGACAATGCGTTTCAGGTCTTTTTACAGAGAAATGCGAGGAATGTAATGAGTAGTGTAACAAATTAATTTCTCCTGGGAGTAATTAAGTAACGTGCTTTATTTAAGAAATTTTTTTCTGTGTAATGTGTAATACATTACTTTTTTGAGTCGTGACCACAACATTGATCACAACAAAGAGGGGAAACACCTCCAACATATATAAACATTTGACCATGCAATTTATTTGCATGACTGTAATGTCTTTGGTATGCTGCTTTGGCGATGGTGGTGATTCAAAGTGAAGCCAATGATACCCACTGAGAATTGATATTGATCGATTTGAAATGATAAATAATATCAATAATAGAAACAGAATCACTAAATCGCTTATCCATTCCCCTCGCTATTTACCACTATTCCAATTTGTGGGTAATGGCTTCCACTCTGCTTCACTGGAGTCTTCCTTGTAATGCTTTCCAGACTAATGTCAATGACTGTTTCTCAGCTGTTTTCTTAGATTATAGCATTTATGTTGCTTTTTGAGATCTTTTAGCCTACTTCACTTTATAAGACAGGTTCCATTTAAGTATTTTCTTGATTCAGCATGTCTGGCAATAATCCGATTTGGGTGTGGCAAGTGAAATTGAACTCAACTATCCAAATGTGCTGCTTAATCACAGTTAATTTTATGATTTCACAAGGAGAAGCAATTACTTTTTTAGTCAGGGCCAGATAGAGTTGGGTTGTTTTTCGTCTATAATACATAAAATTAATAATTAAAAATACCAAATGGACAAAATGAACCTCACTGTAATGGGGATGTAATTAAAAGATGTCATTATGATGGCAAACAAAGCTTTAATAGCATGAAAGCTATCTCCTTATTTCCTCTTGACTCAGCAAGTGGATAGAAAAAGAATCAATCTCACACAATGTGATAAATAAACCATAGTCTAAAAATTAAAGATTGAATTATTTATTTTGAAGCTTGTTGTTAATAAACATGTGTAGTCCTGATGCAGGAGATAAGACTTTTATTTCAATAATGCTTGTTGAAATGCCTGCTTTTGCAAGAACTGCATGTGCAGTTTTGCAAGGAGTAGGATCAACCCTGAAAGTTGGCCCTGGTTGGATGAGACAATTTGCACTTGAGGGTATACTCTTCACATAGTTATGAAAGAGCCTGTTCATTGAGAATTCATGCCTGGGCTTTGTTTTTCTTTGCATCTGGCATATAGTCATTCAGTTTTTCCCACCTGGCACACAATCAAACCGAAATGAAGACATCAAAGTGGTAATTGCAATGTGAAGTAATTTTTTTTCCCTAAAAGTGTCTTTTTTTTCTTTTCTAATATGCATATTCTGTCTGATAAATGGAATCAGAGCAGATGCAAGTGGAGAAGAACAAAATGTAATCAAGTTATACCTAATAAATAGATAAATACATTCAGGACTGTGTGCCTTTCTTCACCAATCAGATCCCTTTTCTTTTGTAATGCCCATGTTGCTTTATAAACGTGAGCCAAGCAAGCTATAATACATGACAAAGATGCACACATCTAGTATATACAAATCAAGTGCGAGTCAGTGAGTGTCTCTAAACTTTATGTGTACTGTATGTTAAAACAGCCAATTCAGCTAGCAGACTAGCTTCTAAACTTCTCATTGTAAATCACGTATAAAACTTGACATGAAGAGCTACAAGGGCGTGAACACTATGTTTGCTTAAAGTTACTGACTTTAAATTTTCAAAATTGAAACTGCTTGTTAAGAAATCACAGCTGAATTTGGTTTCTCTTACCTACTTTCAGTGACCACTCCTTCAGAGAGATTTATTATCCTTGGAACCATTCAGAGAAACTCAGTTGCTGTGGAGCTGTTTTTTGACATTATACAGGGTGAAAACATGGCATAAACCTAGCCTGTCTATGTTTTTGTAATGCAAATAACCTCACAATGAATCAGGCAACTGAGTATGAATCACATCCTTAGTCAAATTTATGGCAAAATAAAGAGTAGTCAAGCTTTAAACATAAAATTGTTCGTATTGCACGGGGGAAATGGTTACTCATCCATTTAATGGACTACCAAACATCCAGCAGCACACTCCTTCTCCTGAACACATTACGCCCCTGCTGCTTCATCTGATGGTTAAATGCATTGGATTGTTTTATGAATACTGAATGTTCATCAGTGGTACAAAAATAAATACCATGCTGGGGATGGTATCAATTTATCATTGTAAACTTTGACAGAAAGTCATCAAAATTTCAGCACAGCATGTTAATGCTAATTGGAATACACCGAGTGAGTGTTTATATTAGTAAATTGTTCTGCTGACAATTTATGTAATGCAAAACAAAATATTTCAGTGTTGACACAAGCTTAAACCTTTATCATAGAAAATGGGGCTTTGCTTAAAGGAACCTTTTTCCTGAAGCCAGATTATATGTCGTTCACTTAAATATAGCTACAGCATTACAGCGTTTTGTGCCAATTTCAATAGCGTCTCTGCATTCAATGAATGCGCCTGGGGAAAACAGCTAACCTGGCTTCTTTAAAAAGTGCATTTCCCTCAGAGAGAAGCAGACTAAAAGATTGTGTATGTGTGATTTTACAGCAAAGACAAAACAATCATCCTCTTTTAATACCTTTGACATACTTTAACATTGGTTAAAGTTGTTGTTTTTCAGTTATAATTAATACTTAGGTATTTTAGTATGTGTAATGAGTAATAAACAGTATAAATAAGCATATAAATTATATACAGATATAATTATTAATACTACACTAGTAGACATATATAATGTAAAATATATATTTTATATTAATTTTAATGTGTTTAATTGTGCAGATGGCTTCTCGTGTATTTATGATATTTATATTTAATTATATTTTACTAAATGGCTTTAAAATGGCCCTGCAGTCAGCATGGTTTCAGGGTGTTGTCTTGCAATGATTGTGAGGCTCAGGTGGAAGCATCTTGGCAATTTTTCATGTCAAGGTGACAGGATCCGTGCAGTCTGGGTCTGAGTGACAAGCATAGTCATTGTGTTGTCATTGTTATTAAAACCCTGTAGCCACTAATTCCAGTTGGATTATTGGGTTTGGTCAAAACAGTTTCTTGAATTCTACAAAGAATCATAACAATACAATTAAATCCAATTACATGCACTCACAAATGATAATAAAAAATAAAAGAGTATGATTGTATGATTGATTGAATTTTTCTTTGGAGACTGCTTTTGTGTTTACTCCAGTATCAGATAAATCTGTCAGTTAAATTTTTAACTTCTTTGATTGGTTACCTTCATGTTATCTCATTTCCTACTTTTTTTTTTAAATCTCAAACTCAATATTTAATCCATGCAACCAGGTAACTTGGTCTGGGTTGCAGAGGGCAGGGCTGGCTCTATACAACTTAATCAGCTCTTCCACAGGAACACTTTGGGAATGCCTGTTCCCAAGCCAGCTCAGAGATGTGATCTCTTCAGTATGTCCTGGGTCTTTCACAGGGGCGCCTTCCAGGGGAACATCCAAATCACCTTAAATATCAGGAGTTCATGAGGCATCAGTTAGATGCCTAACCACCTCAACTGGTTCCTTTCGATGTGGAGGACTAGTGGCTCCCAAATGACCAATTTCCTCTGCCTATCTCTAAGGCTGAGCCCAGACACTCTTTGGAGGAAATGTTCATTTCCACTGCTTGTATTTGCAGTCTCACTGTTTCAGTCACTAACTAAAGTTCATTACCAGGTGAGGGTAGGAACACCAAGAGACCAGTTTACCCTGGGGTGGGTGCTTGAGGGCCCACCAACCGTAGGAGGACAATCACATAATGATTTGCCTGACGAAACAGTGAGCGCTTATTTTGTCTCACTTCTTGTGGTAAACACCTCACTATTTTAAACTACATAATAATCTTTAATTGTGGCAGACATGTTCATGTTTTAGTTTATAACCTTAAGTCTTTTTCAAACCAAGCTCTTGTCAATTAAAATGCAATAAAATGAGTATCCCTATTGGTAGTCAAGGACCAGTTAGGCATTATAATCTGATTTAGATATTAAGCTATTACATGGTCTGTGCATTCTTTTTTCTGTTTTAGGAGTGCAAGATTCTAACCAGGAGAAAGTTATAACAGTGTCTGGAGAGGGAATGATCCACAGCCCAGACTTCCCGCACACTTATCCGAGGAATACAGTGTTAGTCTGGAGACTAGTCGCCAGCAGCAACATGAGGATCCAGCTTACCTTTGATGAGAGATTTGGGCTAGAGGACCCTGAAGATGGAATATGCAAGTAAGGCCATGCATTTGAAAAAAATATACATATTAAAAAAATTAATGCAACATAAAATTATTTTGTTTCGTTGTGTTTTCTGACCTCACTTTATTTAACAAAGGGGCCATCCTCACAGAAAGTATTTTAATATTACTTCAATGAAATTTAATTACATAACAATTTTTTTTTCAAATAAGATATTTTATTATATTAGTCTTATAGAAAAATATAACCATCATCAGCACTTCTGAAGCCTCTGCATCAGAAGTAATATACATTGTCCTCTATAGAGCACTTTCTCTGCTTGCTTGTCTTAATGAGATCATATAGGAGCTTTCCCAGTTGACATGCTAGATACATGTTGGTCTGAAGTAAAGACATGTCCCATCTGTGTTTTAATCCATATTTGAAAATCAGTCAGAGTGTGGCCATTTGTAAAACTGCCTTTAGTCTGCCAGAGTGTGAATATTGAAAACCCAGTTATTTGTTACACCCAGGAAAGGCATGGATTAGCATTGCTTTTTAGTACATATATATTTGATGCGTGGATCAGCTCATAGAACAGCTTGAAAGATACTTGCCACACCCTCTGCATAGCAGCACAGACACAAAAACACATGCAGTACATTCTATAATTTATTGAGCATTCGGCTTTCAATTACTACTTTGATTTTCCCGTGTTGCCATTCATTTTAAAATAGGATCCTAAGCCCCACCGATCGATTTACCAATTTACGCATTGCACTTTATGCTCAGTACCTTTCTGCCAATATATCACAACTGGCTGGTTAGCATGATGGAGCTCAATCTGGGGAAGATTCTGGGGGAGGGTAACTTCACTAGTCATTCCTGGAGAGCCCCCTAATGGATAAAAATGTGAATGACCGCTGTACTTCTCTACAGAGCTGACAAGGTGTAGATAGCATTGCGTAGCTGAAAAAGCAGGCTGTGGACATGAATGAGTAAACCCTGTTCCATGAACAGTTCCTTGAAATTCAACTCCATCAATTAATGAGGTGTTTGTGATGTTGGCTCTGATGTTGGTCTAGTGTTTATATATGTTGTTTTTAGCTAATTTAATTGTCTTATGTGCTGTATAGTTTTGCCAGCCAGCATTTATGCTTCTGGTGCAAATAAAAAAATCTGTCTTTATGGGCAGCTGATTGAAAAACTAAAAATTCTGTGTGTGACTGGAGGTAATTTGAGCGCCTTAGCTCACCTGCCATGGACCAGGTGCCTGTTGACGAATGAGGTTAATGTTGCTGTCAAAACTCTGCGAGGGAAAGTTGCACAGTAGGGCAGGGTGCCGACTGACAACTTTTGTGCTGTACTGCCCTTACAAGACTGCACTAGTCAGCACCCTCAAAGAAAGGGGCAAAGACGATAAAAACATCCTTTTCCAGGGTCATGCAAGTCATTTTCACATCCACTGCTCCAGCTCTAGCATTTTTGTATCTTTGTCCAACCCTTCTCAAGCCCCCAACAAAGCCCAACAGGTTTTGCTCAGATCCCAAGATACATACTTTTGCCAGGGTTGGCAGACAGATGAGTGGTGCATGCAATCACACGCAGAATCCCAAACCTGCCTGCTTTTCTCTTACACTCACTCTCTTTTTTCCCCTCTATCAAACACAAACACTTTGTTCCCCCCACACACATACACACTCACACACACAAGCCTCTGGCCTAGTGTGCTACTTTATCTTTTATGTGTGTTTAAAAATTAATTCCCCAAAACTTCCTCTTAGACCTCCATTTCTCTGGTTGTTATAACAAAGAAAATCACATGCAATGCTGCCGATACTCTGTTATGTCACTGTGTAATGTGACGCAGATTAACAAGAGTCTAATCTCCTGTCCACTAATTCACATCAATGTGGCTAAAACAAACAACAGTGGGAGATGTGTTTGGCTCTGGTAACAACCCTGGAGTGAGAACTCTTTGCTATGATGAGAGGGAATAGCCGGGATGCTCATCTGTTATTCTGTTTTTTCTGTGGCACGATGAAAAGCATTCTTACCAAATCCACTGGAGGAGAGGCATATTGGAGAGGGATTGGTCTTGCTGCTGGTTGGCATGGCAGCAGATTCGTGCTTGACGACTCCCAGACAGGAGTGTTCTGAGAAAGGCATTTATGCTCTCTGTCTCCAGTCTGAAAAGAGCGGACTAAAAAGACAGTGTTTGTGTTGCTAATCTGCGTCATCTCTGTGGCAGATATTGTATCTATTAATAATGTACAAGAAGGAAAACTATGTAGCAAGAAAGCTTTGTGAATATTAAACACAGTTTCTTTGCTGGGTACTGAAAGGTTCTCCTTTCTCCACTGCAACATGTAAAAGGTCGCTTTTTTATTTTCATCCTGCTCACTGTGAGTATGTCGCCTTATTTGTAAATCTGAGAAACCACTGTTGAACATGGTGATTCTGAACACATGTCGACGTGTAATGATCAGGGTATTCTGCATTATTGATGAGCCATCTGTCAAAGCCCTGCAGCAGTCTAAAAGATGACTTTTAGAGAAGAAAGCTTCTCGATTCACTGACCTCCAACGAGGACAACAGGGATGAGCTAAAGTGATGTTTTGTCCTTTTCCAAAATGATTTTTTGCTGTTACAAATTATCAAACATTAATGCATTTAAACTGGAAATATACAGTTTTGCCCTTCTCAATAAGTTCATTTTTGCAGATAACAAACTTCCTGTATACATTTCCACATCAAAGGTAACAGAGTTGGTAAATGTATTGACACTCCCACCCCTTTAGTTTATTTAACATCACAGAAAATCCATTTTTAGCATTGCTCATGTCACTCCATGTTGTTTTATTGAAACCAGCTTGAACTGAATCTGTCAAGCCTGTGCAAATGTAAACAATGTCCTTGAAATCCAAATATCCGAATTGGCAGCACTGAATGAGAGGTTAGCGTGCCTGTTGACGCAAATGGCAAAGTGATTAATCCCAGACTGTGAAGAGTCAGTGAAACAAGGCTTTATTCAATGCAGTGCAGCCACTAGTTAAACACAGGTATAAATAATAAAGGCTGAACTCCTGAACTACATGTCTTAAGTGCTGACATTGGTCAATATTTTCACTGGCACTCCAAAGGAGTTTGGAGCATGGCCATATGTCTCTGCACTTCATAATGTTTACTGGTATTATGGATTGGCAGGGCGGTCAGAGGAGACAGACAGTCGTGTAATTACAGACAGACTCACAAGCCTGACAAGTCCACAAACGACATGATGCTTTTAGTCTTGTTTTTTCTCTCACACTAAAATTTATAGTTTATGTTGACTGTAGTTTTTTTCATTTTAAAATCCAGTAATATATATATTACAATATATTATAGTGTAATATATGTTATATTATACTATATTAATATATTACTGAAAATGTTCATTACTGACCATAATGGAAGTCAAAAATAAAAAATATAGATTTTTAAGAAACCAATATATATTTGTACTTTTCATTAAAAAATACTTAAAATCTTCAATCTGATGGAATGCACCACTAAAGACAACAATCCCAGAACTAGAGTATAAAACTGTATATATAAGATGGATGTAGTCATCATGACATCACCCAAAGATCAGTTAAGACCTATCACAAGGGTACAAGTTGGATATTTGCAGTGTTGCACTCTAAGATATTTGTAATCAGAGATTGGCTGAATGTGTCAAATCTGACCAAGAAACCGAGGGACACTGTTCAACCATTTGCTAATCAGTTGTCAAGTCATAATTTTTAAGCTGGTATCCCTGTTTATCTGCCTTTATAACTCTATGAACATCATGACACATTAAAGGTGATTTTAAAATATCTAAAGAACTAATATTAATATGATGATCAGAAACTTAGTAAAGTCACACAACATGGACATTTTGCAGGGTTTTTTGCAACTACAGGAGTCACTCAGCTTAAAGACCTGAAGTGCCATTTGAGGAGTGATTGGGATACTGAAACAGTACTTGTGTGCTTACCAATCATTTTGTAACTGACAAGTCAAAAATCTAAAAGTCATTCTTAGGTTGTACTAAGTAAATCTATAAGCAATATGCCACAAGACTTCTGTGAGATCTCTCTACAAAGAAAACTCAAATGACGACAAGGAAACAGTGCTTTTGATCAAGTGATACATTCTTTAGTCACACATACATTCAAAGAGAAAAAAACAGATAACATCAGGTAGGATATGCATGTCAATAAAGCAAAATGTTACAGTTACAGATTACAAGAGGTGCTAAAAATGGTTTAATGTTAGATTTGAAAGAAATATAATGGCAAGCAGGGAAGTAATAGACAGACAGACAGCGGACATACTAGGATAGGTGGATAATTCAGAAAGCTATGAGAAGCATATGTCTGTGGTGCCTTTGCTAACTATAGCTAGCAAGAAGCAGCATTGTCTTTCTAGTGACTTAACAGGTGTGGAGTGTAAAACAATCCTTTGACAAAGTGGAAATCTAATATTTAATAAAGCTAAGGGCCTTATATCAGAATTTAACCCCAGGTTGTATTTTTTAGGGCTGACAGTTTTTTCCTCTGCTTGGCAAGGTTGTGGTTTTCTCCACAAGATGCTATCTCCAATACAACAAAACAATGTGAAAGTAAAGTTTTTACTTTGCTACTGGAAATTTGTTTTGGAGTACAATTAAAGAGGCCTGGGTCTCTTGTGTAGTCAACAATGTTTAATTAAAAACTATATTTCAATGACATGTGGTGTAATAGGCCTGTCAAAAGACCGCATCATTGGTCATTAATCGCCAAAAGTAACAGCTGCTTATGCTGCACTATCCTTAGATTCTTCAACTTGAGATTTGACCGCAATGCACTAGTGATTTCCAGTTTATTTTTATCCATTTAACTCGGGCTGTAAATAATAGAGATCTCATCTCATGCAGCTACCCTGCTGTTACAGATATTTATTTTTGTATTCTTTTTTTAAATGAGGTTAAATCTTTATTGCCCTTGCAGCTTTATTAACAATCTCACCTTCAGAACGACCGTGCCAATGGGAGTCTTAAAGGAGCTGACAGACTAATAATGAGGCAAGAACACAATTAAAGATAACAGGCTCAACTCTAAGTTCAGATTTCCAGCTACAGCGCCAGCAATAGCTGGATTGGTTCTATTAACAAATCATATCTAAGACACCAAAAACATGTCCTGCCCTTTCTCTGTTCACTGTGCCAGGTACGACTTTGTGGAAATAGAAGATCCGACTGAGAAGACAATCCTGGGTCGCTGGTGTGGGTCACAATCGCTCCCAGGTGGTCACATTTCCAAGGGAAGCCAGATCACTATTCGCTTCATCTCCGATGAGTATTTTCCCTCTGAGCCGGGTTTCTGCATCCGCTACTCCCTGCTGCCTGTGGTACGTGCATGATTAACTGCTAAAATAAAATGTGCATTGTGAGTAGGTAAACACTTAGCTGTCAGCGTTTCTTTCCTGCCATCTTCATCTTGGGAATTTACATGGCAGTGAGCAGTGCCTCTCCATGTAAGCACAATTAAAATAATTTGCTTGTTACATAACACGGGGTCTTAATTTGCAATCATCCATTCCTGCTTATGTGTACCCAAGGTTTTAAGCATCACTGGGGAGAAATTATGCTTAGGCGCACTGGAACATCTGGCACCTGTACTGTCATTTATTTTAGTTATGAAGATACACTGAAGACAGAATAGCACATACACTTTTACAAAAGCAAAAACAATGTATACACAATAGCTGCAAAGGCGTAAGTCCAGTGAAGTTGCAACCTAATTCATGAATACCAAAACCACTAAAATATCTTAATTTACATTAACAAAAAAATGATAAATCTTATATCATGGATCCTGAAATACTGAAGTATGCAATGCCAAAATAGAAATAATTGAACTTCAATTTTATTTTATGTTTTTTACTCTTCCATACGAAGCCAAATGTGTTCTAAACCCGTGATATATCCATGTAGTCACTTCAGTCTGACATAGGAGGTGTTGCAGTGTCACTAAAGATTGCATTCAAAATTTGTCCACTGACCCTTTTTGGGGGGAACTGGATATTCTGAGTATTTCTGAATTTTCCAACTGTGTTTCTGTTTATATTGTTACATCATGTATTATTCAAATGAAGTGTTTCTTTATTGGTTTGTACAAATACAGTACTGTGCCTTTGCACAGTTTTAGGCAGGTGAGGAAAAAATGACGTAAGCAAAGAATGCTTTAAAAAATGTTCATCTTTTTTTTCACTAATCAACAAAATGCAGTGAATAAACAAAAGAGAAATCTAAATCAAATCAGTGTTTGGTGTGACCACCCTTTGGCTTTAAAACAGTAGCAATTCTTCAAGGTTGCACTTGCACACAGTTTCTGAAGGAACTCGGCTGGTTGGTTGTTTCAAACATCTTGGAGAACTAACCACAGATCTTCTGTGGATGTAGGCTTCCTCACATCCTTCTGTCTCTTCATGTAATCCCAGACACACTCAATGATGTTGAGATCAGGGCTCTGTGGGGGCCACACCATCACTTCCTGTACTTCTTGCTCTTCTTTACACTGAAAATAGTTCTTAATGACTTTGGCTGCATGATTGGGGCCATTGTCCTGCTGCAGAATACATTTGGGGCCAATAAACAATCATTTATATTTCTGAAAGCATTCTTTGCTTACAGCATTTTTTCCACACCTGCCTAAAACTTTTGCACAGTACTGTATGTATCCCAGAAATATGTATTTGATTCAAAGATACCCAAACACTGTTTTATTCTGCTGTTTTCTATTGTTCCTCTTGCCTGTAACAGATACTATAATCACTAGTTCCAGCCTTACCTAATCTTTGTTTCCATTCACCTTTTAAACTTCTGGCAGACATTTATCCACTGTAATTTACAGTGTGTGCATAAGCCAGAACTCATAATGAATAAGGGCTCCAGCAACAGTACCCATGAGGTTTGCATGTGATCATGTATAAAAACACACTGTGGAAAAGATACAGTACAAGCTAAATATCAATCAGTCGAATGGTAGGATAATTCTAGTTTGCTGTCCATGAGTTTTTCTGTCTTGGCTCTATGGCGATGATTCAAGGGAAATTTCTACAGCGTGGGTGGAATGGTCATAAATTCAGTGTTGCGATTGTTTAAATGCCATTTACCCAAAAGAAAACTACAAGAATCTGGTTGAAAGAAGTAACTAAGCCAAGTTTTTTGGTGGGTTTCGGTCCACCCCAACCTTCTCTCTACATTAGCTCTATAGTCTCAGGTTGGTGTTCCCATTATAACTGCTCACCTACTAAAGGCTGATAAAGGAATGAAACAGAAAGGGCTATAATAAACTTCTGACCTTGTGTAGCTATCATGTGGTGTGATTAAATTTAAATTTAAGTAATTAAGTGACCGTTTTAATTCTATAAAATGATGAGCAATGTAATGCAGAAGTTTAAAAACCAGCAAGATTAGCCAGTTATATTCTTGCCAGAAGGTCACTGGCCACTAGAGCATTTCTGATATCAATAATATCTGAAAAATTATTAGTACATACTTTTGTGTCTCTGTATAGCTACTCTTCTATGTCTTCGTCTGTCCTCTTCCCATTAGTCATTCTCTTGCTCCTTCTTTTTTTTTGGTCTTGACATGTAGACCACACACAAACACAGAAAATCCATTTGTCCCAGATCCCACACTGACAAAAGCCTCAAGATAAACTAAAGAGATGACTGCCATGTTTTAACCTGTCATGTTTTAGTTCTGTTCAAGCTAGTTTAAGTCAACAGTTTTACTCTTCATTAATCCCTGATGGCCTGTAGCACAAATATGCGACGGAGGTTTCTGAAATGGCTTTATATTCACTGTTTTAATTTCTTTGTGCTTCAGAGTTGTTGGTCTTTTGGTCTTAATTCACAATATTATTGCATTCTTTCATCACCATTAAAGCCCAGAATAGCATTGCTGATAGCAGCATGAACCACCAAATGATTTACCGTCACTCTGAACACATGCAGAGTGTCATGCAAACCTCAAAGCTGTGTCACAAAAACAGTTAAACAGATAAGTTAGAAGATGAAAGGTATTCATTACTTATATATTATCTTCCAGTGTTAGAGTCAGTAAATCAAATTACTGTTTTTGTATCAGTAGACTGCAGCAGGGCCACAAGCAAGGTCAGGCTTTAACCAATATGAACCCAATGAGATGCTATTATAAGGAAAGATTTAATGAAAAAATGTTTGCAGCAGAAGGAAGTATGAAGTAAATGTGTTTTGTATTACTTTCTTATTTGAACAAGAGAATGAGTACTGTGAGGGTTTTTTTGTTTTTGTTTTGTTTGTTTTTGTTTTGTTTGGGTTTTTTTTTTTTTTTTGGGGGGGGGGGGTATTGAACCATATCTTATGAATAATCTGTGAATCTATATGCAAAGAATGAGATTTTTGTTACTAGAAGCTTTTCAGTCTTTGCTTCCAAGTTCCCATGCTGTATTTCAAGAAGTACTGATGAATCACATGCAAGTAGGCAGTTAAACAGTACTGTATGTGTGGATTGCAGAAATGAAATGCTGAACTATCACATGTCGTCAATTCAATGCTTTATTGTCTTTTTTACAATTGCATTTGTTATTTTTAGTCAGACAAAAAAGTTGACTGATACACAGGCTAGGACGCTTTGCAAAGATATCCATTAGCCTGATAGCCAAATGCTAAAAGCCACAAAATATTGGAAACTGAGTCATTAGATGCTGAGCGATGTAGTCCAAGAATAGAGTC